ACACTATTCATAATAGTCAAAAGGTGGAAACAGTCTAAATGTCTGTCAACAGATGAATGGATGAACAAAGTGCTATATATACATACTGTGGAATATAATTCAGCCATAAAATGTGAAGTTCTGATAGATGCTACAACATGCATGAACCTTGAAAACATTATGCTAAGGGAAATAAGGCAGATGTAAAAAATTAAATGAAATATGAAATATGAAATATCTAGAATAGGCAAATTTATAGAGACAGAAAACAGCTTAGAGGTTACCAGGGGCTGGGGGCAAAGTAAAGGGAGTGGAGAGTTATTGCTTAATGGGTACAGAGTTTCTGTTTTGGGATGATGAAAAAGTTTTGCAAATAGATATGATGATGTTTGACCAACATTGTGAATGTAATTAATGCCACTGAATCATAAACTTAAACATAGCTAAAATGGTAAATTTTGTGTTATATTATACCACAGTTAAAACAAAAAGAATAGAAATAGATCAAGAAGAAAGAGAAAGGACTTTCTCCTATAGCCATCAGAAAATAGAACGTTAAAAACCTTACCCACATTATTCCAAAATAAATCATCACAATTAGACGTTCTTCTTGAGTTCATTCAGTCATTCTTAATTTATTTTCGTTTCATTCGAGTCATCAGTCAGCTTTCATGAAATTATCTGGTACTGAATTCAAAAGCATCCTGGAAATCCTAAGTCCCTTTGACAATCTTCTAAGAGATGTCAGCTCCAAAGTCTATTCCTTGAAACATCAATTGTTCAAAATAGCTGGCAGAGTCCTTTTCATGAGACTCTGAGGATGTTCTTCGTGTTGCAGACTAAATTTCTGGCCTGTGCCTTAAAAGAGAGCCTCAGGCAAGCGTGGGAGGAAAGCAGAAGCGATCTGTTGATGACAGAGCAGCTAACAATATCAGAACGGAGAAGAGTAAAATTCTCTATTGGCGCAGGATACGTACCTCTTTTGTGAGGTTTTGATCAACGTTTCTCCCTAGAGTAAGACACTATATTGTACTCTATACTGATAAAATTGGAGAAAAGACATATCCCTAAAGTCTTGAGCAGATAAAATTCCAGTGACGTTCTTCCAATTACTGCAGGATTATTCAGTTATATGCTGCTGTGGCTTATGTATAGAAAGGGATAAAGTCAGCAGATCTAGCAAATAAATACTCATGACTCTACGCTGTGCCTACAATTCCATTTTATATTGCAATGCTCCATTGCCCCACCAAAGATATTTGTGGTTTTAATTTGCTCTGTCACCCACAAATTAATTTTTCCTTTATGGCAATAACTGAGGGCTCAAAATTTTGAAAATCAGCGAAGTCAATAAATTCTATACTTTGGAGGCTGGCGTATGTTTCTTTCTTTTTTTGATTAACGGTACAGACCTTTATAACCTGTGTTAAAAATATAAGATTAGAAATACTTCCCCCACCCCTCTCAAGCCTACACTATCTCTAAAGTTGGCCCATTAGTTACAAATTGTTAATATGAGTTGTACAGGTATCTTATGCTCTTTTTCCCACCAAAGAAGTTTATTCCAAAACACGTGACTGACAGCTGACTCAGTGCACACATATGCAAAACACAGCTCTCTATTGGATAACTCTTGGGATAGAAAAACAAGGTGTTTAATTAAAGTCTGACTGCCTTTTTCCCCCAGTTGTATGCCTATTATTCATTTAGATGAGCTTAATAACAAATACAGTTGTGAGGATAAAAAAATAACACAAATAATCACTCTTTAGAAAGTCGGATATTAGATTACAACTCACCATAGGGCGATTTCTTTCTACATGTTTTTTAGTTCCTGTTAATGTCATGCCTGGACTCCTTGAATCTGTTCATGTCTTCTCTCCAAATTAGGACTGCTTACTGATTAGAGACTGGGCAGGCTCAGGTGGAAGAAACAATTAGAGGTGAGCATCAGCATCAAAGAGGCCCTGAGCGTTAGGATGGGTCTAGGTAGGGGAATGTTCATTAGATGGTAACACCATGGTACAGAGCCTTGAGGTCTGGAAGACACTTTGGAAAGTAAGGTACTGTTATGGCTCCAGAGAAAGTGAGCTAAGGAGGCATCAGGTGGGAAACCAAAGCAGGAATTATTGTGTGGTGCTCATAGCACCTTCTGCTAACTCTTCCAAAGTGATTTGTCCCAAGTCTGTGTTCACTATTAGAAGGCAAGCACAGCATTGGTTTGGTTCACTGCTAAGATCCTAGCACTTGGCAGAGTTCCTGGCACATAGTTGGTGACAATAAATATTGTTGACAAGTAATGGAAGAAAGCAAAATTTTCGGGGACATGGTTTCTAGATTTTAGAAGTTAAGGAGCTTGGTTTCCAAGAAAGCAGCCGTAGCCTAGATAATGGACCTTGACACAAGGCCAGTGTAGGGCCTGTGTGACCCTAGTGAGAGTGCCCTGCAGAGAACTGAGCCTGCTTGTGGAGCTCAAATGGCTTCAGTTATGATACCTCTAGGGACCCAGGGATGAATGGAACCTTTCTCTAAATTCTCTGTTAGTTTCCTTCCCTTTATCTAGGGGCTCCTGTTATCTGGGTGTGTGGACTGCTGGTCTGTTGTAGCAGGAAGCTGAGGTCACCACACAGAGCGTGGATCCCGAAAGTATGGGATACAAGAAAAGAGCAAGAAAGAGTCAGAAGCTTGGTGAACAATCTAAGTTCTGAATAAATACATGTAACTAAATGTCATCAAAGAAGTGTGAATTCAAACAAAAATGAGCTCCTGTTTTCATCTCTTCCTGTGGGACAAATGACTGATAGAACCCTGCTGGGAGTTTTTGCCATGGCTAGAGTGAAATCCAGATCTTCAAATTGTTGGCGATCAAAAAATTGCTATTGGGTGAGTCTTAACAAGTCTCTGCATTCTGGAGTGGCAGCTGGAATTTCTCCCCATTTGTTTCCCCAGTAATGGAAGTGATCGCTTTGTACATTGAGACAGGTACACAGTAGGCACCCAGAGTTCATGACAACAGCACTGAAATCTGAATGAAGATGCTTGGAAATTGGCATATTAAGTTATATGCAAGTGATATAAAGCTTGTCTTATCTTGGGGAAAATTGGATCTCTGTCAAGATTTTTGTCATAATATTTTTCTTTGGCTGAGGACAAGAAGGAGCAGTTGGGTCTAGACTGAAAGCTGGAAACTTGATCTTGGTCTTCTCAGCCTCCAGAACTGTGAGAAATAAATTTCTGTTGTTTATAAGCTACCCAGTTTATGGTATTTTTGTTACAACAGCCCAAATGGACTAAGACAATTGTTTTAAAAGAAATTTAAAGAATTAGTTAAAAAACTTTTTTCCACCTATTCTCTATTCTCCATTTACTAACTCGCAGCTTCTAGTAAGTTAGTATATGCTATATTCATTCATTTTAGCTGTGCTTTTGGGAATTATGTGTGTCAAATCTGTATCCACACTTGGAATGATATAGATTTGGGTAAGCCATACCTTTATGGGAAAGAAATTACTAGATGGTGACAATGACACACAGAGAGGCCCAGAGCAGGGGTCCAGGGGGCTGGAATGCAAGGGACAGCCAACTACTGGGATGAATTAGTGGATACTGTAAAAGTACCCTGAGGAATCTCAGAAATAATGAGGGAGATAAAGAGAAGACAGGGACTGTGTTGTCATGTAGAATGGGGCTGGGACTTCGCTCATTGAATATTGAAGGGAAGGATACAATGTTTTGATTGGTTCTATTTGACATAGATAAATTCTTGATTGGAATGTATATTAGCATAATACTTTTGGGAAACTTAAGAAATCTGTATCACATTCATACCCTTTGGCCCAGGAATCCTGTATTTTATCAGCGGTTGTCTTTCAAGGCAGTGATAATAGTGATTTATTTTCTACTTTTATCTTTTTTCCTTTTCAATGATGAGCACATTGTAACTGGACAAAGTACTCTTTATTCTTTAAACAAATATAAGCTTAAAATTCTTATGAACCAAACCAGATGGATTGTCCAAAATCCAAATGATAAAGTGCTAAGACCTGGATTGTTAAGCCTTGGTCCCACACTGTACCATGGAATTCATACCGTCCACCTGCTTCCCTCAACCAGGGATAATGAGCATCAGTTAAGGAATGAAAGAGAAAGTACTTTGAAATCCTCACCTCTGATTCCAGTGGACATTCTGTCTTTTATTGTCTTCACCTACTTCGTCTCATTTGAATTCTTTTCCAATTTCTTCACAGTTCAATCCTCATTCCACATCACCACCATCCAGAGAACGTGCCTTCCCTCCCGGCACCTCAGAGAGCCACATCTAATAGTTGTCTTCACCTCTGTGCATTTACTGCATGGACAGTTTTAGAATAATTATTATTGCTCTATCTTTTTATTGCTTTGACTTTGGTTTCACTAGGTATGTCCCTCAGATTTTCAAAATATGGAACATAAAGTTAGAAAGTGAAAATACCCCATAACTTAGCCACACCTACACCAGTGCCTCAAGGTAACTTTTTAAACTTCTTGTTGATTATCTTTAAGAAATATATACCTAAATACATCCTAAAAGCAATAATAATAAATATTAATATATATAACATAATACTTATGGTAAATATATTTCTAAAATATTGAATCATACTATACATGGTATGTTTTCACTTCCCCCCACTTAGCATCACTTAGAAAACTTTCCATATCAACATTTGTTTCTAATTTTTAGCAGAGCCATATTTTTGGCTGTACCATGTATGTCTTCTTGTTTTGATTTCCACTTTCTGCTCTAACTAGTGGGGACATTTTTTCCTATATTTAAAAACGTTTTTTTTTTCCTATCTGAGTTTCTTACTCTGAGAATTTCCTGTTTGTTTTTCTATTGGGGTGTTTATTTTGCTTCTTACTGATTTGTCAAAAGTCTTTGTGTAATAACTCTGCTGTCCATGGCATGTTTTACAAATCATCCATTTCCCAGTTTGTCATTTTTCTTTTGATTTTATTTATGGTGATATATATATATATTTTTTTACAAGCAGAACTTTGAAAATCACTATGCAGTCCAATTTACTCAGCCTTTACTTTGAGAAAGAGATGCTGAGAAAGATGGGCCCTGCTCTGCTCCTGGGAGTGATTGTGCCTCAAGATAACGTCTGCCGCTGCCGCCGCCATGTTGGGATCATCACCCAGGAAGTTTCCTCTTGCCCCTTCCTGCCAGCACAGCTCTCCAAACAAGCACTTTTCTGTTTTCAGTCTTCCATCACGTTTCCTCTTCAATGCTTTATATAATGAGGTCATTCCATACGTCGTATTTGTGTCCATTTTCTTTTCTTCAACAGAGACTCATCACGGTGTTGTGGGATGCAGCGTCTGTTACCTGTTATTGCTGAGCGTGTTCCGTTGCGTGAATAAACCACAAAGCGTTTCTTCACTGGCCCGTTGATGGACGTTTGAGTAGTTTCCAGTTTGGGGCTACTATGAAGAGAGCTACGATGTATGTTCTTCTACAAGTCTTTTTGTGCCTGAATATTTTCATTTCATATGGATAAATGCCTAGGAATGGAATTGCTAGGCCGCTGGTTAAAGTAGTGTAACTATACAAGAAACTGCCAAATGATCTGCCAACAGGTTGTACCGTTGTGTACTCCTGCCAACAGTGTGTGAGAGTTCCAGGTTTACACCCTCACTAATATTTGAGATTGACAGTCTCTTAAATGTTAGCTAGTCTAATAGGGGCGTAGTGGTTTTTGTTTGCATTTTCCTAACAAATAATGATATTGAGCACTTTATAATGTCTAAGCTTTTTCCTCATTTTTAATGGAGTTGTTTATCTTTTTGTATTATTGAGTTGTTTTTCAAATTTTCTGTATACAGTCCTTTTGTCAGATAATTTATAAATATTTTCTCTCCCTCTTGCCTATTCATTTTCCTAATGATGTAGTTTGATGAGCAAAAGTTTTTAGTTGGATAAAGTCGAGTTTATCATTGTTTTCCTTTTATGGTCATTGCTTATACCCAGGTTGTGAAGACATCTTCTTGTTTTTATTTTTCTAGAAGCTTTGGGTCTATGGTTCATCTTGGATAAATTTTTGTGTATGGTATAAGGTAAGGATCCAGGTCCAATTTTTTTCCATATGGATGTGCAGTGTTTGCAGCACTATTTGTTGAAATGACTGTCTTTTTCCTATTGTATTGCTTCGATGTCTTTGTCAAAAATTAATGATTGTGTAAGGTGGATCTACTTCCGGATTCTCTCTTCTGTTTGATTGATTGATTTCCCTATCCTATGCCAATACCGTACCGTTTTAATTACTGAATATTTTACAGTTAGGTATTATAAGTCCTCCGACTTTGTTTTTCTTTTTAAAAAATATTTTGGCTATTGTAGTTTCTTTTAAAGTTCATGTACATTTTTTTTTTTTTAAAGATTGCCACCTGAGCTCACATCTGTTACCAATATATATTTTTTTCTTCTTCTACCCCCAAAGCCCTCCAGTACATAGTTGTATATTCTAGTTGTAGGTCTTTCTGGCTCTGCCATGTGGGATGCTGCCTCAGCATGGCTCGATGAGTGGTGCTGGGTCCATGCCCAGGATCTGAACCCCGGGCTGCCAAAGCGGAGCATGGGAACCCAATCACTCGGCCATGGGGCCGGCCCCTGTTCACATAAATTTTTAAAAAGAGGCTACCAGCATTGTGATTGGTGTTGTGATGAATTTATCTAAAAATTTGGGGAGAAGTAGCATCTTAACCATATTCAGGCACCTAGTTTATGAACATGGTATATCTGGCCATTTAAGTCTTTAATATTTCTGAGTAATGTCTGTAGTTTTAGTGGAAATGTCTTGCAAATCTTTTATTAGATTTGTGTCTCAGTATTTTATGTTTTTGGATTCTATTGTAAATAGTTTAAAATTGTTTTCAAATGTTTATTACTAGTGTATAGAAATACAGTTGACTTTTGTATATTGAATTTGTATCCTATGATATGGCTGCATTCACTTGTTAGCTCTAATAGTTTGATACTATTGTAAATGGACTTAATAAAATTTTGTTTACTGACTTTTTACTGCTAGTATATAGAAAGATAATTCGTTATTCTATATTTAACTTGATAAATTAAATTTTAGTTGTAGTAATTGCTTTGTAGATTTCTTCAGATTTTTTTTTAATGATGACAATCAAACCATCTGCTAATAGGTACAATTTTACTTCGTTTCAAATCTTTTTACTGTCTTTTAGCACTGGTTAAGACCTCAGTACATTACTGAACATAATTGGTGAGAAAAGACATTCTTACCTTTTTCTTTATCTCAGGAAGAAAGTTTTCAGTCTTTCACTATTAAATATGATATTAGCTGCAAGTTTTTAAAAAGTGTCCTTTTTCAGGTTGAGAACATTCCCTTCTATTCCCAGTTTGCTGAGAGTTTTTATGATAAACGGTGAATTTTGTCAAGTGCTTTTTCTTCATCTATTGAGATGATCATGTGGTTCTTTAAGAGTCTATTAATATCATGGATTACAATGATTGAATTTCAAATGTTAAAATGACCCTGCATTGCTGAGATAAACCACACTTGGTTGTGGTGTATCATCCTTTTTCTGTGTTGTTGGAGTCAAATTGTTAATATTTTTAGGAGGATTTTGTGTAAATTTCTATGAGAAAAATTGGACTGTAGTTATCTTATAATTGCTCTAATCTTGTCATTTCTTCCTGAGGTTTTTGTATCAGGTTTATGATGAACTGATAAAATGAATTGTGAAGTGTTCCCTCCTTCTCTATCTTCTTAAAGACTTTGTGTAAGGTTGGTATCATTTCTTCCTTAACGTTTGAATTTACCACTGAAACCCGTTGGGCCTGGAGGTTCCATTGTGTGAAGACTTTGATAAAAAATTGAAATTCTTAAATAAATAGAGTGTATTTAGATTTTATGGCTTATCTTGTTTTAATTTACATAAGCTATTTTGCCAAGGAATTTGTTCACTTCATTTATATTGCCAAATTTATTGACATAAAGTTGTTCACAATATTCCCTTAGGAGCTTTTTTAATGCCTGTAGGATATGGAGAGATATCCTGTTTTCCATTTCTAATTTTCATGATTTGTATCTTTCTTTTCTTTTTTTAATGAAAGATATGCTTTCTTTTTAACTTGATGAGACTATTGTTTTTTTTCTTTTTAAACAATCTGTCACATAACTTCTTTTTTTGCAGAGAAGTTTGCCCTGAACTAACATCTATTGCCAATCTTCCTCTTTTTTTGTTTTTTTCTCCCCAAAATGCCAGTGCATGGTTGTATATCCTAACTGTAAGTCCTTTTAGTTCTGCTGTGTGAACCTCCACCACAGCATGGCAACTGACAGATGGGTGGTGTGGTTCTGCAACTGGGAAGCGAACCCAGGCTTCTGAAGTGTTGAGAGTGGTAAACTTTAACTGCTAGGCCATCAGGGCTGGCTCTGTATTTTCTCTTCTTTTTTTCTTCATCAGTCTTGCTAGGGTTATCCATCTTATTAATCTTTTCAAAGAGCCAACTTCTGATTTAATTTTCTCTACTGTCTGCTTTCAATTTCATGATTTCTACTCTTACTTATCTTGGTCAATCTTGCTAGGGATTTATCAATTCTAATTATTTCAAAGACCCACTTTCTGGATTTGCTAAAAATTTCTCTACTATTTGTTTTCTATTTCATTGACTTGCACTCATTTTTGTTATTTCCTTTCTTCTAACTACTTCGGGTTTAACTTTTCTTTTAACTTCTTATAGTAGGGAGTGATTTTCATCTTTCTTCTCTTTAAATATGAAGCTTTAAATTTCTCTCTAATCACTGCTTTAGTTCTTTTCCCACAAATGTTGATATGTTGTATGTTCATTATATTTCACTTTATATATTTTCTAATTTTTCTCATATTTTTTTGACTTATGAATTATTCAGAAGCATATTGTTTAACTTTTAAATAATTAGAGATTTTGCAAGTGTCTTCTTATTTACTTCTAAAGTTCGATTCCATTTTGGTCAGAGAACATATTCTATGATATTTCAGTGTTTGAAATGCACCAAAATTTAGGTATGATGCAGCTGTATGTTTTCTGTGCACTTAAAAAGAATCTGTAGGGGGGGCTGGCCCCGTGGCCGAGTGGTTAAGTTCACGTGCTCCGCTGCAGGCGGCCCAGTGTTTCGTTGGTTCGAATCCTGGGCGTGGACATGGCACTACTCATCAAGCCACGCTGAGGCAGCGTCCCACATGCCACAACTAGAAGGACCCACAACAAAGAATATACAACTATGTACTGGGGGGCTTTGGGGAGAAAAAGGAAACAATAAAATCTTTAAAAAAAAAAAAAAGAATCTGTAGGGGGCCAACCCCGTTGCTGAGAGGCTAAGTTTGTGTGCTCTGCTTCGGTGGCTCGTGGTTCACCAGTTCAGTTGCTGGGTGTGGACCTACCATGCTGAGGGGGCAGCCCACATAGAAGAACTAGAATGACCTACAACTAGGATATGCAACTATGTACTGTGGTTTTGGGGAGAGAAAACTTAAAAAAAGAGGAAGATTGGCAATGAATGTTACCTCAGGGCCAATCTTCCTCAACAACAGCAACAAAAGCATAAAAATGTAAAGAATTTGTATTTTGCAATTGTTGAATATATTTTTTATCTGTATCCATTAGGCCTCAGTGGTTGGTAGTGTTATTTAGATCTTCCATAACTTCACTGAATATTTCCTAGTTGTTCTATCAATTACAAGAAAAATGGTGTTAAAAATCTCCCACTATTAATGTGCACTTGTCTATTTTCCCTTTAGCTCTAAGTTTTTTCATGTATCTTGAAATGCCGTTATTAGGTTCATTCACACTTATGACTACTATTTGTTCCTTACAATTAATCCTTATATTATTCAGAAATGTCTTTTCAAAACATCTCAGGCAATTCTCCTTGTCTTGATTTCCCTTGTGTCTGATATTAAAGTTCTCACTCCGGCTTTCTTATACTTACTCTTTGGTTGGTATATCCTTTTCCATCTTAAAATTTTCAACCTCTACGCCCCTTTTCATTTAAAGAGCATCTTTTGTAAACAACACATAGTTGGGAATAGCTTTATTTTTTTCCAATAAATCCAATAATCTTTGCCTTTTATTTGGAGTCTTTGGTCCATTCACATACAAAGTGATTATTAACATGGTTAGCTTTAAATCTACATTTGTTATTTTTTCCTATCTGTCTTGTCAGTTTTTTGTTCCATTTATCTTTCCAAGCCCTCTTTTACAATGTTAAATAATTTATTATTCCATTTTTACTTCTGTATTGGGTTTTTAGATATACTTTATTTTTTTAGTGGTTGTTCTAAGAATTACAGTGTGCATTCTTAGTTTATCAGTGTCTTTTTAGAATAAACAGTTTTTTCTTTTCAAAAGGTATAGACTTGCAATAACATTGTTCTCTTTATCCTTCATACTTTGTCCTCTTGTTGTCATATATATTGCCTTACATAATTTAAATCCTTAGTCAGTAGTATAATTTTTGCTTTAAAGAGTTATACTATTTTAAAGATATTAAAGAAAAAATAAAATGTCTTTTTAAAAAATTATTTTACTGAGGTCATATGGCATATAACATTGTGTAAGTTTCAGGTATACCTTGTTACACTTTCAGTGATCTTCATTCCTTTCTATAGATCTGAATTTCCATCTGGTATCATTTTTCCTCCAGCTTGAAGAACTTCTTATAGAATTTTCTTAGTAAAGGTTTGCTGTTGACAAATTTTCTCAGTTTTTATTATCTGAAAATATGTTTTATCTTCATTTTTGGAGGATATTTTCTCTGGATAGAAAATTCTGGGATAACATTTGTCTTTCTTTCAGAACTTTAAAGATGCCTTCCATTTTTTATGGATTCTATTGTTTCTGAGACGTTAACTTATTTGTATGACTGTTTCCTTATATATATTATATGATCTTCTCTGGCTACTTTTAGGATTTTCTCTTTATGATCATTTTCAGCAGTTTGATTATGCTGTGCCTAGTTGTGGTTCTCTTTCTGTTTCTCCTATTTGCCTTTTGCTAGCTTCTCAGAACTATATGTTGATGTTTTTCCCCTAATATGGTAAATTCTCTGCTGTCATTTCTTTGTATTTTGTTCTCCATTTTTCTCTCTTCTCTTAATAGTTTGTTATAGGTTACTGCGGTTCTGTTCATTTTTTTTAAATTCTTTTTCTCTACATCCTTAGCACTGGATAAATTTTATTAATCTGTTTTCAAGTTCTCAAACTCTTCTGCTGCTCACAATCTGCCAGAAGCCCATCTAGTGAATTTTTCATTCATATATTATACATTTCCTTTATTAAATTTCCATTGGATTCTTTTTTGTAGTGCTTCTCTGCAAAATTTCCCCATCCCTTCATTCATTATGATCATATTTTCCCTTAAGACCTTAAACATATTTATAATAGCTATTTTTAAGTTTTATTTACTGTTTCTAACATTGGGTCATTTGGGGTCCTGTTCCTATTTGCTGTTTTCTTACCTGTGGGTTACATTTTCCTGTTTCTTTGAATTTCTAGTAATTTTTAAGTATATGCTGGACATGGTGAATAATATGTTGCAGGGAGTATGGGTTATGTTGTCTTTCTATAAAAGGCATTACAATTTTTTTCTGACAGACATTAAATCCTGTCAAATTATTTTGATCCTGTCAGGGTTGTTTCTACTTTTTGATGAAGATTTGTCTGTTTCAGTTTTGGGCCAAATTCTAAGGTGCACCTCTTACTCTAGCATATACTTATTGTCAACTGAATGTCCACTGTACTCACTGTAGTCTCTTCATTGTAGCTACGATGGAACTCCAATCTGTCCAAGACTGCTTCAAGTATCTTTGGTTAGCTGTCATCCCTGTAGCACGCCATGCCTGCTTGGCCTTGCAGAATCTCACCCTGTTGCACAGTCAGTCCAATCCTCAGCCAAGCATGTTTTATTGAGTCCCTGTGAGGCTCCCCCACCTCCAACCCCATCTCACACAATTCTGTTTTCTTATGTATCCTGTTCTGAAAATTGCCCCTGCTTCCACAGCCTGGAACTCCAATATCTGCCTCCTTGGTTCATCAAGACTACTCTCTGCTTGGCTCTGCTCTCTGAGCTGTGGCAGAAATTGCCATCAGGCAGAAAATCAGGGCAGTTATGGAGGAATTATTGGACTTATTTCATATGTTTCCCTTCTCTTAAAGTTTACATCTTGTATTGCCCATTTGTCAGTGTCTGAAAATAGTTGACTCATATATTTTGTCCAGTTTTATAATTGTTGAGAAGGCAAGTTCAGTACCAGTTACACTGTTATGGCCAGCAAGAGAAATTTGTGTATATGATTTTTAAATAATTCTGATTTTTGTGCTTGACATCCAAATAGTTCTCTTCTCTTTTATTAAGGTTAACATCCTTGTGTGTGTCAATTCTTTCATGCTCGTATAATCTCTCTCTCCTCATGCATATATAATCTCTATCATACAGAGTTTGCAAGTCATTGTTTGTTTTGTAAAAATGATTAGGGATTATATATATATTTGTATATGTATATTTATTTATTTATAGGAATATATAATTATAAATAATATATGGATGTGTATCTATTTACCTGCTCTGTATTTACATTCATATACTTTTCGGTGTCTCTGTTTTCTTATTGAATAATACATCTCTTGTAAATCAATTTGTATAGATCAAAATCATTCTTTCTAATGATATAGATGAATAAAATCTTACTTAACCAGTTGATTTCCAAATAAAATGACTAGTGGTGATATTCAGTCTACTCTTCTAATAGGCAAATTTAATTACAGTTTCCATATATTCTTTAGAGTTTGCTATAAGGGTTTGCGACATTTCCCAAGTTTTATAATGGACAAAATTTTATTCTCCATTTAAAATTTTTTTTATTCTCTTTTGTGAATTTCTAGGAGGGAGTTATGCAAACATGCATTCTAGATCTTTTTTCTCAGAAGTCCTAACACAATGTTTTTAATAAATCCTCGTTCAACAAATGAATTAACAACTAACAGGCAAGTAAATATAACAAAATTTTGGTGCTTAAAATGACTGTAATCATATTTTCACTCTCTTGGCTATTTTTTCCCATTGTCTGGTTATAAAATAGTATGTATTCATTTCAGTAAATTAGCAAAAGTGTATAAAAAATAAGAACCATTTGTAATCTTATTGCCTAGTGGTGATCACTCAATAATTTCTGATTTTTTATTCTATGCATATTTGGATACATATATATCTATCCATTACATTGTAAAATTCTCTGTCTTGCTTTCACAATAATGTAGCTTGAGAAATTTACTTTAATTAAATGTTCTTTAAAAAGACTCTTTGTAATGACTGCATATACTTGCATTTTATGATGTACCTTAAATCTTAACCAATTCCTTGTTCTTGAATAGTTAGGTTTTTTTAAAACTATTTTAAACAACAGTGCAAGGAACATCCTTATACATAAATCTCTGTCTACATTCCCCAGTCCTTCTTGTCTACTGTTACTGAATTCTGTAAAATGGTATTGAATTTAAGAAGCTAAGACTCTCATTAGGATTTAACTCTTACCTGTGTCCTAAATCTAAGGTGGTCTTAGATTATAATGTTCAATTTAGTTGAAGCAAGTTGGGAAAAGAAGTATTGATAGAATGTTTTAAAAAATCTCCATTCCTTTGGGAGCCTATGGGCTCCCTGAAAAGGAATTTGACTGTTCCTGGCCAGCCCAGCATTTAATCCCAACCTGTCACCAGTTTCTATGAAGTGAGGTTTCTATTACTTCCTGGATTGCTCTAGTCTATCAGAGGTCACCATCTCCAATTTAGCCTAGATGTGGATGGGAAAATACCCTGTACAGCCCTAGCATCCAAAGAACGTTGGTGTCAAATTCAATTACTGGAGATGGAGACCTTTTTTTTTCCAAAGGTCTCTGAATCCATTTAAAAAGCTTCTCAGATTCCTAGCACTTGTGCTTATGGTGAATGGATCTCCCACACAGGCCTTCTGACAGCTTTTTGTAATTTCACATTGTCAACTGCTTTTGTGGTTGGAGTTTCATTTACTGAAAAAAATCTCAAGAGGAAGTAGAGACAGTTATGTCTTTAACATATGTCTGCGTGTGCCTGAGTGGGGTGAATATTGTAGATGGCTAATAACCCAAGCTGATTTCATTTCATGTAGCTTTCCTCTTTTCAGATTCCCAATGTTGATTTTCCAAATGTAAGATATTAATTCTGGATTGCTGTGACCACAAGTTCCATTAACTCCCTTGTGAGCCTCTACAGAATGAAAGTATTCTGGAAGTATTTTTTTCACTTTATTTTAAAATTCTATTTTGTGGAAATTCCCTACATTTCCTTTGGTTCAATTTAGAGAGCTTTTTCTTTTCTGTGATTAAGGAATAAATGAATTCATTTTGAACTGAGAAAATGGCACAACATATTTTTTTTTTCGGTACCTGAGCAATTTGTTTTCACAATTACATTTCAGTAAAACCACCTAACAGTCATGAAGGATTAGCAGTGTTTTCTCTCTCTGTCACACAGCCTTATAATTTGTCTGGAGCACAAACGAATCAAGAAATGCAGCTTTGCAGACTGTTTTGAGTATTACAGAATATTGCTTTAACTATTGGGTCAGTCCCGGGTACATAAGCCTACCATTTAAATCGTTAAGAACTATTTCCAGAGAAGATACACTTTATACTGCTGATTGAGCTTCTCTTTCATCCTTTTAAGTTCAGATTTCATAATTAGAACACAGTAAACAATAGAATTCTCACAGAAGAATAAAGGCATCGTCTTGGCTTCTTTTCTACTATTGCCTTTGAACATGGAATAAATGACATATTCCACAGCCTTGCTAAATCTTCTGTTCTCTCTCTCATACTGTTGTATTTCTTACTATTTCAGTGAGGAAAAGGGAACTACTCAGATGGTGTTACCCCAGACAAAACTTCAAAAGTTCAGACCAAACAGTATTAACTGGTAGCAGCCATTAGAGACTTATTTTGGAAGATAATATGCTAATATATTTGGAATGCTATTCTCTAAGAACAGCTGCCATTTTGTCTCTCCAATTCTTTTTGTTTTATCCTCCTTTGCTTTTTTAGAAAATTTTTTACAAACATTACTCATATTAAAGTCAAATTTTTCTTGTCATTGTCATGAACCAAACCTTCCATTTTGACCTGTGTGAATTCTGCCTATGATGACAAACTTTGTAGAATGGAAGAGTTTCATTTGAGCCACGCAATGTCATATTTGGAGTTCAGAGTAGCTGTCTTCATGGTAATGCTAAATTATCTGGGGAAGCCAACTGATTCCCCAAGATATGAATCAGTTGACTATGGTACATAGGTTGTTTAGTGAACATTTTCATTTTTCTGGGATATGTACACAAGAGTGTTTCCCGGGTTGAATAGTAAGCACATTTAGTTTTTAAAGAAATTGCCAAACTATTTTCAAGAGCAGCTGTACCATTTGCATTCCTATTATCAACATATGAGAGTTGCAGTTTCTCTGTGTCCTCATCAGCATTTGGTGTTGTCACTATTTTATGTTTGCTATTCTAATAGATGTGTAATGATATCTCATCACGGTCCTAAAATTCGCATTTCCTACGTGCCTGATGATGTTGAACATCTTTTCTTGTGCTTATTCACCATTTGTATATCTTCTTAGGTGAAATGTCACTTCATGTGATTTGCCCTTTTTCTAATTGGATTGTTCGTTTTACTATTGAGTTTTAAGAGTTTTTATATATTATGGATATGGGTCCTTTCTCACATGTGATTTACAAACATATTCTTCCAGTCTGTAACTTGTGTTTTCATCTTAAAGTGGTCTCTCACAGAGCAAAAGTTTTTAATTTTGATGAACTCTAATTTATTATTCTTTTCTTTTATGGATTGTGCATCTAATGTCATGCGTAAGAACTCTTAAACAAGCCATAGTTCCCAAATATTTTATCTTATTTTCCTTCTGAAAGTTTTACAATTTTACATTTAAATTTATGGTCATTTTCAGTTAATTTTTGTGCAAGATGTGAAACTTAGGTTGAGATTCACTAGTTGCCTAAGGATATCCAATTGCTCCAGCACCGCTTGTTGAAAAGACCATCTTTCTTTCATTCAATTGCTCTTGCACCGTTGCCAAAAATGATTTGGCTTTGCTCTTGTAGATCTATTTCTAAGATTTCTATTCTGTTCTATTGATCTATGTGTTTATCTCCCAGGCAATTTAACATAATCTTGATATTGTTATCCATATGTAAATGAATCTTGAAATCAGATGGAGGTATTCCTCTGACTTAATTCTTCTTCTTCAAAATTTTTAGTTATTATAATTACTTTTGTTTTCTCATAAGAATTTTAGGATAATTTTTTCTAAGTTTATAAAAACTTTGCTGGGATTTTTAAAGAATTATGTTAGTCTGTATATCAATTTGAGAAAAACTGACATCTTTATTATGTCGAGCCTCCCAATTCATGAAAATGGTATGTCTCCATTTATTTAGATCTTCTTTGATTTATTTCATCAACATTTTATAGTTTTCAGCATACACATGCACAGATTTTGTTAGATTTATACCTAGGTATAGATTTATACTTAAATCTATTTTTTAGTGGTTATAATTGGTATTGTATCTTTAAATAAACTTTATTTTTTAGAGAAGTTTTAGATTTACCAAAACTGTGAAGAGAACTTTTGAACATAGTACAGAGAATTCTCATAAGCTCCCTGCCCAATTTCCTCTATATTAACATCTTACATTATTATTGTATGTTTGGTAAAATTAATGAGCCAATATTGATACATTATTATTAATAAAATATTTTGCATACTTTGTTCAGATTTACTTTAGTCTTTCCTAATTTTTCCTTAGTCCTTTATTTGTTCCAGAATCCCATCCAGGATACCACATTACAGTTAGTTGTCAGAATACAAACTCTTTTCAGATACATATGGGACATTTACCAAAATTGACCATATGCTAGTCTGTAAAGCAAGTCACAGAATACTTTAAAGAATTTGAAGCATTTGTTCTCTAATCAGAATGAAATTAAGCTAGAAATCAATAAAAAAGAGAAAAATTCCCTAACGTTTGGAAATTTAAAAATACATTACTAAATAATATACTGTTTGTATTTTGTGGTTTCTGGGTACAGTGTTCAATATATTTCAAGTAGGTCAAGTTTGTTTATTATATTGTTCAAAAATCTATACTTTTACTATTTGCTACTAAGAGAGTTATTGTCTTAGTTTGAGTGCTCTTAAAATCACACACTGAGAAAATACTTGGGCTCAGGTAGTTTATTTCAGTGGTAATCCTGGAAATTGCAAGAAGGGAGTAGAAAAAGTGAGACAGGAAGAGAGAGAGAAAGTCAATAAAGGACATGTTATTGACCTGGTGACCACTCATGAAAACTAGAGCTAATGCTATTTGTGACCCTCTGAAAATAATCACATGCATCAGGACTTTCTCATTCTTGAACAGTTTAGCAAAATAATTTATCTACTAATGCCCATCCTGCATGAGATTGTACTCAGAGACGTTAACTCCCCTTATTTCTAGATTGTGTATATGCATGAAGATGGACACCGTCATGATTCCAGAGAAAGCTCCCAGGCATAAAAGCAAAGGTGTGCAGGCACTCGATATGGGAAGCTGTCATTGTATAGGAAACTGCTTATCCAACTGCAGGTGAATTCAAGTCTGCTAATGATGTATTAACATTTCTAATTGTGATTGGCAGTTTATTTTTCCTTTTACACAGCCTATTTGTCATCGCATTTTGAAGATCTATTTTTAGATACATTCAAATTTAGTTACATCTTCCTTGTATATTGACCCTCTTGACATTATGAACTGTCCCTCTTTTTACCTAGTGTCACTTATTGCCTTAAAGTCGACTTTGCCTGATATTAGCACAGCCATCACAGCTTCCTTTCAGTTAGCATTTGCATGATATAGCTTTTCATTCTCTTACTTCCAATCTTTCTGTGTCATTGTATTCAAAGTTGTCTCTTCTAAGCAGCATATCAATTTTTCAAATTCAGCATGACAAGTTTTTTCTTTTAATTGGAGTTTTTATTACACTTATATTTTATGTGATTATTGGTATATTTTGTTTTAAATCTACCATATTACTATATTTTACATATCATATCTGTTCTTTATTTCTTTTACTCTACTTTCTTGTTTCCCTTTTGACTAATCAAGTACTTACTATTTTGATTTCCTCACTTCTTACTATTGTTTCTTTAGTGGTTATCCTAGAAATATGACATGCGTCCTTGACTTATTAGAATTTTAATATGAACTACTTCCTGTACAATGCAAGGAAGGTCTTTTGAGCACTTGAATTCTATTTGCTGTATTCCTTCTTCCTTCCATTTGCATCGTATTATTTTGTATTTTTTAAAGTACATATATTTTAAAACTCACAAGACATTATTATTAGTATTATTTAGTGCCATCAATGTTCACATAGATTTATGCACATATTTAGCCATTTTCTTGCTCCTCAGTCTTTCTTGGGTTTCTGTGAAATAATTAAGGATTACTTTTTCTGATTTATATATATATCTCATATATACATATACAATAATTATATACATATGTATAATAATTTTATTTGAGGTATTCATCTGGGGAAAAATAACCATTTTTCTTAGAACATTTCTTTATTTTGAAAATTTTGAGATTATAATTATCTATTCTAGAATTTCCGTTTGATTACTTTTCAAAGATCACAATTCTGTGTCAAAATTCTCCTTATTTCAACCAGCTTTTAAGAAAATATTAATCAGAGTTATTTTAGAGTCCATTACTGATGAATCTAATAGCTGAATATCTGTGGGCCTCTTTCTTGTCCAGATTCTCTTGGTCCTGTGTCCTTATATGCAGCATAATTTTTCATTGAATGCAGGATATTGTGGGTGAGAAATTGTAGAGATGCTGACTGATGACGTCTCTCTTCACGAAAAGTTTATTTAAGGATTGTCAGATGGTTAGAGTGGGGCAGATTACATTAATCCCATCAAAAATTGAGCTGATTTGAAGCTAGGATTCAGTTTTTCTAAGACCTGCTTTATTTTAGTTTGCCCTTACTTCTGCACTGTGGACCATTAGGATCCAAACTATAAGCCTTTCATAATTACCAGGGCTAAACCTCCTTGGTGAGCCTTTGATCCCAATTTTTGTCACCATATGTCTGTAAATTGCCAAAAAAATTAATTCTCTTCAGCTTCTTTGCCTTTTAGCCACAGCTTTCTTCTGCATTTCTAGTTTCTGGGCTCTGCACCACATTCAAATTGTAGACGGCTTGAAATGAAAGTAGCAAAGAATACTGTGATGATATCAATTAAATTCTCTTTTCTCCAGCATTTTGACATCTCAAGTTTTGAGTAATTTGGTAATTCTCTGATACTTCATATATATTTCAAAATTTTTTAATTTGTATTTTAGTTATTTGTTTTGTTGCTTTTTGTGGGATCATTAGTGTGGTACAAGCTAGTCCATTGTAGACAGAAATTTGTATGTATTTTCACCAGTTTTGGGTTGCATTGATGTTCTCTGTTTCTTTTTCTGAGTTTTGTTCATTGATCTGTACTCTGATCTTTATTATTTCCTGTATTCTGTCTTCTTTAGGTTTAATTTGCTGTTCTTTTTCTTGTTTCTTAACCCGGAAGTTTGATCATTGATTTCAGACCTTTATTTTTCCTGATATAAGTATTCAGTGCTGTAAATATCCATTTAAACACTGATTTATCTGCATCTCACATATTTTGATATTTGCCTTGATATTTTCATTCAACTCAAAGTATTTTCTAGTTTCCCTTGTGACTTCGACTTTGACTGATGAATTATTTAGAAGTGTGCTATTTAATTTCCAAATAATTGGGATTTTGCATCTATTTTCCTGTTAATGATTTCAAGTTTAATTCCATTACTGTTAGAGAATATATTTTATATGGTTTCTATTGTTTTAAATTTGTTAAGGTTTGTTTTAGAACCCAGAATATGATCCGTCTTAGTGAATATTCCATGTTCACTCAAAAAGAATGCATATTCTGCTGTTGTAGGATGGACTGACTATAAGTGTCGATTAAGCCGAGTTGGTTGATAATTTTTGTTCGTGTATCCTATATGTTTACGCACTTTATGTCTACTTGTTCTATCACTAATTACTGAGAAAGGAGTGAAGTCTCCAATAATAACTGTGGATTTTTTAAATTTTTCTTTTATTTCTATCAGATTTTTCCTCACGTGTTTTGATCTGTGTTGTTAGGTGAATTCCTATTTAGGTTTTTATTTATTCTTGTTAAAGCAACTCTTTCATCATTGTTTAATGTTTCTCTTTATCGCTGGTAATATTCATTGTTCTGAAGTTTACTTTGAATAATATTAATATAACCGCTCAAGTTTCTTCTTTTACCCCTTCAAATACAATAGAATCCTTAGAACTAAGTCCCTTCACTCTCCCGCACTGACCTTCACGTTGTAACTGTCACGTCTACTACATTTACATGCATTAACTCCACCAGACGGTGTTACAATTTTTTTCTTTTGCTTTTGCTGTTTAATATGAGAAACAAATAGTCCTTGATATTTACCAAGATATTTATCATTTCTGTTCTTCTTAATTTTTGAACATACAGGTTTCCCTGTGGTATCATTGCTGAATTTGGTTTGCTTTTTTTTTTTTTTAAGTTGTGTGGTAAAATATGCATAACATAAAACTTACCATCGGAACTATTTTTAAGTGCACAGTCCAGTAGTGTTAGGTACATTTACATTGTTGCACAGCCAGTCTCCAGAAATCTTTCACCTTGCAAAACTGAAACTCTGCACCCGTTAAACAATGACTCCCCATTGCTCCCTCCCCCCAGCCCCTGGCAACCATCATTCTACTTTGTATCTTTATGAATGTGACTACTCCAGGTATGCCATACTTCCAGGTATGATTCCAGTATTCAACTTTTTGTTACTGGCTGGCTATTTCACGTACCATAGTGTCCTCAAGTTTCCTGCATGTCACAGCATCTATCAGAATTTCCTTCCTTTCTAAGGTGACTAATATTCATTGTATGTATATACCACACTTTGTTTAACCATTCAGCAATCGATGAAGACTTAGGATGCTTTCCACCTCTTGGCTATTGTGAATCATGTAGCTATGAACGTGGGTGTACAGATATCTCTTTGAGATCCTGTTTTCAATTCTTTGAGGTCTACACCCCGAAGTGGAATTGCTGGATCCCAGCCGTACTATTCTTGATAGTGGCTGCCTCATTTTATATTCTCACCAGCAACACATAATGATTCCAGTTTATACACAACTTTGCCAACACTTGTTATTTACTATTTTTTTTTATAGTAGCCATCCTAATGTGTGAGAGGTGGTGATTTTAAAAATATTTTAGATCGAATTTTTGCTTCTTTATTTGTAGTAAATATTGGCCTATAATATTCCCTTCTTTTATTATCCTTGTCCATTTTTTATCAAAGTTATTTTATTCTATATGAAATACATCAAAGAGTTTCACTTTTCTATTCTCGAGAAAGCTTTGCATTACAGAAGGTGTATATTTTTCTTGAACATTTGGTAAATCTTTAAATTTAAAAGTACTTTTCTATGTGATACTATTTCTTGCTGTTTATTTCTAATAGTGTTCATTTGTTACATCCATTTTTTCTTCTTGATCAGTCTTACCAATGATTTGTTAATTTTATTAGACTTTTCTAATAATTTTTTTTTTTTGCTGATCGTTCAGATAAATTATCTGTTTCTACTGTATTTTTATTGACTTTTTATTTCCTCTTTTAAGGTTTCTCCTGGTTTACTCAGTGGTTAGTTTTCTAACTTTTTAGTTTGAATGCATAGCTCATTGCATTTCTATATGTTTCCTTTATTAATGTATGACTAACACTTTCCTCCAAGTACAGCTTTAGCTGCATCCTACAAGTTTTGATATGAAGTTATGATATAGTTTTATTTTTGTTGTTTTGTTTTAGATATTCTATCAACTCTGCATTATGATTTTTCTAGAAACCTACAAATAATTTAACAAGAATTTAAAAATTCTAAATGCATGGTGTTTGATTTCTAATTTTAATAAACAGTGGTCTACATAATACTAAATTTTTGTAAATATAAGAAAAGCATAAATATATGTGTGTGTACTCGTGTTGTGTTTTAGTGAGTGAATGCAAAGGAAAAAACCTTGAAATTTGTATACAAAATGTTAATTGTAGTTTTTGCCTAAGTATTGGAATTTAAAAAAGGCTTCTTTTGTTTTCTTTGCATTTTTTTGTATCTTCTGAATTTGAAATGTGAATATGTATTATTTTTTCATTAGGAAAAAAAGCTGTTTACATTTTGGGGGGGGTAAAAAAAAGAGCTCTGATGAATATAAGTGGCCTGTATATAAGAACCCACTTCTAACCCTCTGCAGATTTTAGAGTTCAGAATTTATTCAGTGAAACACCAAAGAAAAACAAAACAAAATTTAAAAAAATCCCATTAATTCCCTTGGCATGAATTTTAAGGGAAATGTGTGTTTAGTTATCAGAAATTTTCTTTTATATTTGAAGAGAACTATAAGTTTTATCATTTTGGCACCCAGAGAGTTCCCTTCGTTTCTTTTACACTCACTTTTTTGTATTTAACTCTGTTTTATTTTATCCGCTATTTCAAAACCTTGGTCGTTGAGTGATGGGCTTGAGTCTACGCAGTCATATTATGAAATGTGGAGGCTTATATTTTGTTTGCTTGCTTATCTGATTGTTAATCTATCTGAATCTGTGCTGGATTACTGTATCTGGGAGGGCAGAAATCAGGTTTTATTATTTATCTCTGTATTCCTGGACACAGAACCTAGCATGTTATAGAAATTTTTAAAATGTTTTGTTAATGGATGAATTTTGAAACAGATCAAGGATGCAAACTTTCAGTTACAAGATAACTGAGGATGATGACTACGGCTGACATTGCTGTGTGGTATATTTGAAAGTTGCTAAGAGAGTAGATCCTAAAAGTTCTCATCACAAGGAAAAGAACATTTTTTTCTTTTTTGTAGCTATATGAGGTGATGGATGTTAACTAAACATTGTGGTGATCATTTTGTAGCATATGTAAGTCAAGTCATTATGCTGTACACCTTAAACTTATAAAGTGCTGTATGTCAATTATATTTCAAAAAAACTGAAAGAAAAAGATAGAGAAGTGATATTTACAGAAATACCATCTTTAATTAGCCTCTCCCTGAGCTTAAAGTAAATTCCTTGAGTCCTACATCTTGGACCTTATTACATCCTCAGCACATTGCTGGGCACATGGCAGTGCCTCAATAAAAATTTGTTGGGTGAATGAATTAATGGTCACTTGATTGTGATTTTGTTCAATATTGTCATTTAAAACAGATGAATTTCCACCCTCTCTCTTATTTGAAGGAAGATCACAGGTAAAGAAAACTCTGGGAAATCAATACTTTGCTTTCTAATTGACACTATGGTTTGTAAATGAGACTTATATCAGATTGCTCTTCTCTTTTTCTCTTCTTGTCCCTCCTGTAACACTTCTCTTCACTTCTCCCAAATCAATAAACAGGAAGAATTCTTTCAACATGGGCTCAAATTGACCAGGGCCAACAGAGAGCATTTGATATTCTTTTTCTGACCTTAGACTTTGGGAATAAATATAAATCATTCATGTGTCTTCTTCTTTCTTCCCTCCAATCCCCCACAACAGTGGATGTCTTGGGACTCTGCACCAGCAACTCAACAAGGGGGTCATATAGACGGTCTGGGTCTTCTCCGTATTTCCAGTTTAACTTCGATTTACACTGTCATAGGTTCTTGAACTTCTTGCTTTTCAAGCTTTGCTTTAGGCCCACTTCTGTGAAAAAATACTTTTATGAATCAATATAAGACCCTAGAATTTTCCCTGTATTAATAATTCCTTAGTCTTTGAATTTAACAGTGTGCTGACAAAGAAGATTCTTGTGTTTGGTAGCATTTGCTCGAGGCAGAGTAATACTTTGTGCATATGCCCTCTCTTACACTCTGGTTGATTGACACGTGGGTAGGATGAAGAAACACTATGCTTTGTCTCATTGGTCCTTGTACTTGATGAATCTAGCCAGAATTTTTTTTGGTTCTGACTTTCAAATGTAGATTTTCACGTTTTGTGAATTTTCATTCTGATTAATGATTTCCCCTAATATCTTTATATCTCCCCATTATACAGATCTATGGACATGTCTGAAGACTGGCTCTAATGTCCTCAAGACCATGCCCAGGAGGTTAATGCTAATTCAATGCATAAATTTCCTTAAAAGGGGTACAAGAGAGACCTGGCTGACATTAAACTCTGCAGTAGATTTGAAGTGTGTTTTGATATACTTGTAACATATATTCATCTGAGTTCCTTTTTCTCCAACAAATGGAAAGCTTTGTTTTTCTAGTAAAAAATAATTTATTCTTATTTTAGAAAATCAGAAAGTATAGAAAATACAAAGAAGAAGAAAAGACGACCTTTGTAATCGCAACACTTGGAGATTAACATTAACATTTTGGTATATATCCTTCCAGATTTTTTTTCTTAGCATTCACTCACTCAAACACAATGTGTGGGGACATATATATATGCGTGTGTGTGTGTGTGTGTGTGTATATATATATATATAGTTAGACTTTTTCATATGTATATTTAAACTTTTTCCATTTATAAAAAATGTGATGACAATACACATAGATTTAACCTGCTTTCCCCACTGAGACCTTTCATCCAATCTGAATCAATGTGCCTCTTTGTAAGCAAATATTTTACCATTTGACTCATTCTAATGTCAAAACACATTTTCCTTCTAAGGCTTTTCTGTTTTTATTACATACTGTTTTTAACACATCTTTGCTAAGGGCACGCAAGGTACAGTGTGTAAATCTTTAAGTGAAAAACTTCCAAAAAGAGTAAGAAAAATAGAGAGGTAAGCAAGAAAGAAAGCGAGAGTAAAAGTAAAGAAAGGAGGAACAGACTGTCTGTAGCATGGGGGGGGGGGGTCACATCATGTTCTTGAAAATCATAGGATCTCAGGTCCTTTGACTCTCCAAAAAAAAGTGTTAGCTGATTTAACTCTGTTGATGTCACCTCACTCATGACGAAGTGGTGTGTTCTACTCACAGAAGAGAAGCTACTTCTGGCAGTTCTGGAGGCTGGGGAGTCTGAGATCAGGGGGCTGGAAGGGTTGCGTTCTGGTGAGAGCCCTCTTCCTGGTTTGCAGAAGGCTGCCTACTTGCCGCGTCCTCAGATGGCAGAGAGAAAGGAACCTCTGGTCTCTTCCTCTTTTTTATAAGGAGACTAATCTCATCATGGGGCTCCCCTCTCATGACCTCATCTAAACCTAATTGCCTCCCAAAGGTCCCACCTCCAAATACCATCACATTGGAGATTAAAACTTCAACATATTAATCTTGGCGAGGACACAAACATTCAGTCTGTAGCATTTTTTTAACTCTTCAAAGGCCAGAACTAATTGACAACCTTTGAATATTAATGGAAACCAATGTTCTTTTTTTTTTTGAGGAAGATTAGCCCTGAGCTAACATCTGCTGCCACTCCTCCTTTTTTGCTGAGGAAGGCTGGCCCTGAGCTAACATCTGTGCCCATCTTCCTCTACTTTACATGTGGGACACCTACCACAGGATGGCTTGCCAAGCGGTGGCATGTCCGCACTCAGGATCTGAACCAGCGAACCCCAGGCCGCTGAAGCGGAACATGCGCACTTAACCGCTGCACCACCGGGCTGGCCCCTCAATGTTCTTGTTAAGGGGACTCATCATTGCAACTTAGCTGCTTCATTAGAAATAAGATGGAAAATTAGCAATGAAAGCATTTTGAATGTAGGCTTGATGCTGAGAAATTAAAGGAAAGGAATAAAATTGCCACAGCATATGTTGGAGGGTCCTGAACACAACGAACTCTCTTAAAAAGATAAGAAAGCTGCTGGAGCAGGAGGTAATGATGTGGTCACAAAAAGTGATTGGATGAGAGAAAGGACTCAGCATTCAGCAAGAACAGAGGGGTGTGGAGGGGAGCATCATAATTCTGTAACATTGAGCATGTAATAGCGGAATCCTGCATCTCTGTTTTCCAGCAGCGAAGTGGAAAAGAGATCTGCCTCTGCTCTCTTTATATTTCACATCTGCAGCAAGTGAAGAGCTCTGGAAAGCCTTACATGCCCTGGAAGGAGCTCTGTAAACCCATAAGCAGTAGAAACTCTCTTAACTGACATGCACAAAGTTGACTCATCAAATTGCCCGATGCTCTTAACTCTTTCTGTAAAACATACTGACCAATGCCCCCTACCCACAGCACGAGGCTTTTTAGTACATCCACTCACATCTGCTCCCACCAGATCTAAGAGGCAGTTGGGTTTATGCTAGTTGAATTTGTTATTGTAATAGTATATCTTAATTAAATATTATGTGATACAGTGAAATATAACTGTGAGAAGATTTGCTATGCGTGTGAAAGCAAAGTTAAATATTCAATAAGGGTTTGATAAAGTTATTAAAACTTTGCTATTGTTTTAGGTGTGAATGAGGTGACTGTACGATATCAGGAAAATTATGAGAGATCACACCCTGCCCGTCCTCTTCCCCAAGTGTCATTACATTCTCTGTCAACTGTAAAGAAGCTGAAACTGGACGTCACAGACAATGTGTTATGAGTTTGAATCACGCAAAAACAAACAACAAAATGGTATGGAGCTATAACTGTGAGTCATTCATTTCAAAAGCAAGGATTGACATCTGATCACTCAAAAGATTGGTGAGTGAAGATTTTTAGTTAAAATAAAATGTTTAAACTATATATATACACATACATATATATGTTTCACATATATTTTTCAGAAATAATTTTCACATATATTATAATTTTAAAACTGATTCTCTGCTTTAATGAACTGTTTTGATTAAATGCCTATGGTATTCCACAGCATTTCATTCAGTTTCCCGTGTGGGTCACCTGTGAAGTAGATAGGACTTTTCAGAGCAATCTCCACGACCCTTTCTATTCCTAAGGCTAAATGCTTAGCTTGGTGCAGAAAGAAATGGTGAGCCCTCAATTTTTATTCACACTAATATATATATAGGCTTTGCCGTACTTGTAGGAGTCAAGTTTCAACATTTTAAAAAAATGCCACATTAATGTATGCTCACAAAAAAAAAGGGAAGAAAAAGACCATTTAAGAAATGTAGAAAAAAATTACACAGAACAAAATAAAACTAGTCATGGTTTGAAGAAGGATTAGGAACATAAAAATTAGAATTGAGACAATAGGAAAAGAATAAAAAAGAAATTTTAAAAATGGATGTGAAAAATGTGATAGGAGAGGCAAAGGAAAACTAATATTTCTCTAATTGGAATTCCCAAAGAACAAAGTGAACACACTGGAACAGAACAAATATTGAAACTATAATTCAAGACATTTTTCTTGAAATAAAAACCATTTAAATGTGTATACTGAGAGTAAAAACTGACCCCCCAAACTGTTAACACTGACTCATAACCTGTTACATTTGATGTTGAAGACAAAGCAAGTATCATTATGACCTCCGGCCACTGAAAAGTCCTTTTGAGGAAAGAAAATGAGGCTGGCTTCAGCTTCTCAGCAGCAACGTCCTGCAGCAAAGCAAACTACAAAATAGCCACAAAGAAGAGTGGGAGGGAGCCGAGCATTTTACAGGCAGACTTGCTCTGCAGTCGTAAAGACAACCAGTAAACAGTAAACACATCTTGCTGCAGAATCTGCTAGAGAATGAGCTTTAGTCAACCAAAAGAGGATTGGGGAGATTTTAGGAAAAGGACTGGTGGTGAATTTTAAACATCTTTAACTTTGAAACTCGGACGGAAGGAAAGTTATAGATAATTGTAACAAAATAACATGTACTTTTTATGTGCTCAGAAAATGTAGAAATAATACACCAACAACAATTGGAGAGTAGGAAGCAAAGGTGGAAAGTCATGTAAGATCACTGCTGGCCTCATAGGCAATAGGTAGGAGTCAAAAATTACCCTTTAAAGTTGACAAATGAGGTGGTAAAAGTTGTAAACTGTTTAATAAGCATAAATTTAACAGTACAAAGGCAGTAATTGCATTGCTTAAAGTTAGATGGTAAAGGAAGATGAGTTTATAAACTAATTGTTCCTTATAATAGGAAACTAAAATATAATGCGTAAAGCAAAGAGGGAATTAAGGACATTATATAAAAGTTTAATATAAAAATAACTCTAAGAAAAAACAAATAACTTTCTAAATATTAGTAAAATAATAACAGCAAAGAAAACAGACCTCATTGTGAAAATTATATATATATTTTCATGTATATATATATAAACATAATATCAATTGATATTACAGACTAGAGAACATACGTATCTTTTACGTAACACACCTATTGAAAGAAATTTCAGACTGGATTACAAAGCACATACAACTCTATGCCATATACAAGAGAGACAGCTAAAAGTAATTAAGAAAAGTTAAATAAAAGGATGGATAACGTCATGCCAGGAAAATGTAAACAGAAACAGAAATAAAGGTCACAATCTTAATATCAAACAAGGTGGAATTCAGGCCAAAGAACATTAATAATGACAGAAATGAAACTCTATAATGCTCAAGGCTATAATTCACAAAAGATGTAATAATTAGGAATATCTATGCAGCAAATGACAGTGAGAACTTTCATGAAGCAGAAACCACAGCAGATATAAGAGGTCCCCTGATAGCCAAAGGCCATGACTCACCTTTCTTGCAGCAAGATATATCAAATAGTCAAAAAAAAAAAAAAAGTAGTGATAGAGAAGACCCCAGCAACACAGTAAGTTAGCTCTTCTGGATATATTTCAAATGGACAAACTTCCCTCCACTTTTTAAGCGCTCATAGACCCTTCACAAAAATTGATCACATGTTAATTACACCACAAATAAAATCTCAATAAATTCTAATGCAGTGGAATCAGCACAGCAAAATCATCTGACAACAATGCTATAAATGTACAATTCAATACACAGCAAATGTCTTTCACTTGGAAATAAAAATAAAACTGTCAAACAGTTCTTGGGTCAAGAGGGAATGTAAACCAAAAATGCAGAATTAAATAGTGATGAAAACATAGATCAGAATTTTGGAATATAACTAAGTTGTTGCTAAGAAAAAAAGTCATGACATAAAATACTTAGATCAATAAGAAAGAAAACAATGGAAATAAACTATATATGTGACTCCAAAAAGTTGGAGATAAGAGAGCAAAAGGAGGTAACTAATAAAAACACAAGCATAAATTAATGAGTTAGAATACAGAAAACAGAACATGTTCTTCCTCACTTCCATATTTGTAAGAAGGAAAGATTGGAAACAGCACAAGTACAGAAAACGACATGAGTGGTTGACTACATTCACACAATGTGACGTTGAGACCATAAAAAGTCAACAAGGAAGATCTCTTTGTGTTAATACAGAACACGATTGTTAACTGAAAAAGGCAAAGTGCAGAATGGTGTAATATGAAAGAGGAGAATATAAAAGTACATTTTCCTCTACCAGTTTTTGCATAAAGAAACTTTGTAGGCACCAATGAGAAACCAATACAAATGATTTCTTGTCGGGGAGACCGTGACAGTACAGGTGGAATGAGGACAGGGCTTGACAGGAGACTTCTCATGCAATGCATTTTTAAACATTTTAATTTGAGGACCAATTTAATAGAATAAAAAAACAATTAAAAATGTGAACAAAACACAGGCAGATAAGAGAAACATTTTTCCAGGTCTCTAGGCTGAGAAATAAAGGAGCGCTCACTAGGAGGTTGAGTGGTATCTCAGCCATCATTAACCCTTTGGCGTGTGGTCACCGACAGGAGGGACAGAAATGAGATGAAAGAAATCAAACTGCTCTCTTGACAAGTTGAGCAGCATCCGTCAACAGGTGCCGCTCCATGCTGAGGCTGCTGCCAAGAGTGGACGTGTGCACCTGGTGGGGACAACAGGCGTCCATCACCCTCAGCTGCCGGGGCTGTCTCAGGTCTGAGAGAGGGAGGCAGGTCGGCGCCTGCTGCTCGCTGCTTTCCTCTTCCTTCTGGACCTGACAGCCGATCAGATCTCCGGTGGGGACTGAGAGAAGGGGTCCTTGGAGTTAGCTGAACATTTCCTTATTTGAAACGGCTTAAAGGACGCGCACGTGCCATACATGAATGAATATATTGCATATTTGGAGAAGTTCACCCACAGACACAGGCACATGCCTAAGGAAGAAATTTTAATCACAGACTGACAGCTCATCTTTTTTTAGCAATTAGAATCTGTTTTCTTCACATAGTAGGAACACAAAGTAACAAGGAACTCACGAGGCTCCTGAATTTTATTTTTACACTCACAATTTTGAGAAGAGTCTTAACAGATTTAATCCAAATTTAGTGTTATAAAAAAAAAGGCTGCTCTGGGACTGCAACTAAAAATGCCAAGTTTCAATCCAGAGCAAATTTTTTACAGCTGAGCTGGCAGGTCTTTAAAGAGGTCTTGTCAAAACAGAAACCATCAAGAACCAAAAAAAACCTTTTACCTGCCTTACCGCTAATGCCCCTGCGTGTGGAAATGAAAAGAAATAGCAATATTGCACAATTAGAAAATAGAGCTTCTGTGGCAGGATGGATGTTTCTTTCTCTGTCTCTCTTTCTTTCCTTCCTTCTTTCCAGGAAAAGAGTATTTAGTAAGGTACAAAAGGAGATAGTCATTTTGTTAACATGAAATGCCGAATCAAGCTTTTATTTGGAGAGGTGATTCCTATTAATAAGAAAAACATTTCTTGATCCTGGAGAAGCTCTGCACTGGACAACCTGAATAATATGAATTGTTGCTCAGAATCTTCCTATGGAGGGCGTGGAGGAGGAGAACCAGAGAGCATCCGGGACCAGGTGAGGTGCCGTGGGGATAATGTTGACGCGAGAGATTGGCGATGCAAATAGAGGCCTGTGGCAGGTTGACTCACTTCTCACGGAAAAGTAAAGAACTGGTTTACACTTTATCCTAGACCCTGCCTGTTTGGTGACTGGCTCCCAGAACCGCTCGCTGAGTGAAAACGGACTGTACCTGAACAGACCACAGGTGTCATTCACATAGCATCACGTTCCTTCCTTATTTGCTTCTGCCAGTCTCTGGCCTTGAACAGCTGTTCCTTGAGAGAGAAAGACCAGAATAACTAAGTGTCAGTCAAAGGGTTTGTTTCTTAGCTGTTGAAAGCAAAGTAAAATGACTCCCCACAAGTTTTGATAAATTGGGGTGGAGGAAAGCCACATCTTGCCATTGAAATTCCTCTTAAATCCATTCAAAAATAACGCATCAATCTTTGAATTTCAACTTCTTAATAGTGTCTCCCAGCTGCCCTTGAAGCACCTCCCCCAAGCAAACAAAACAAATAGAGAACAGAGCGGTAATACAAACATATTTTAGTTACAGGGTGGTAGACAGAGGGGGTGGGACAGAGTTTCCAGACTCCCAGCCTCCTCTGCCACTTTTAAATAAACGTCCCTCTCTCTCTGAAATGAACAGCACAACCCTGTTCTCGGGATTTCGCTTTTTTGGTATCGAGTCCTTGAGAAAGGAATTCCCCTCCTCGTTCCAGCCTGCAGCATGCTCCCCATCCACAGCACTGATGCAGACGTCTCCTCTTTCTTTCTCCTTTTGCTAAATGCCTGGTGTCGAGTATGATTCTGTCTGCTTGATTCGTCCCCTCCCCAGCATTCCTGCGAGGACCTCACCGGTGTAATGAGAGCGGGCCTTCCTATCTTGTATTTTTTCCTTCTGATATATCCACTCTCAACATAGCTCTGTTTGCCTCCCTGCATCCCTGGAGCCTTTGGGTGGACATGGATTATCAAAACTCTAACCTTCCTCACGCACTTAAAATGAAAAAAACATAGTAGCTACAAACAACCCAGGGAGACCTGGGAATTCAAAACAAATCGACTGACAAGTGGCAGTTCTGCTGGGATACAAAAAAAAAAAAAAAATGAAAAGGGGGGGAATGGTTCAGTCTCTTAATTCAACAAGCTCAGTTGAGGTTATTTTGAAAGTCACTGGCTGCTCCGGCTGTAACAGCAGTGTAGACCAAACTAAATTATTCTTCCCTTCTTGTTGGATTTTTCTTATTGAAGTTCCTAGATCTCTACTCTCTGGTGGTAACACAGCAGCTACAAATAACATCCTCTCCTCCTTAGAAAGGTGGTAGCATTCATGACGAGATGAATTTTTTTTTTTCCTAAATAAACTGTAGCACCTTCATCCTTCAGGAGCAAACGTTAGCATAGCTGAGGTGTGGAAACTTCTCAGAGAAAATTCTAAAATTTGTTCTTTTTGGAATTTATGTTACTCAGAGGGCCAAACATGGTGCCAGCTCAGTCCCTTTCCAATGGCTCTTTACCACTTGCTTTTTAATTCCCTTTGGAGCACAGGCTATGAGAAGAATGTCCTATGGTGATTCATATATAAGATATAACAATATCCTTTTGCTTTTGTTTTCACCCCCTCCCAATCCACTGTCTACCACAGAGATCTTTTGAATCACAAATCTGGCTACTGTTCTTCCCTATATATAACCTTCAAAGGCTCCCCGTCCTCTACAGCAAAGATAGCAAGTCGATTTCCATCTTGCATTCTGACGGATTGTAACTGACAACCTAGAGCGGCATGCTGAGAAGGAGTCTGATGCTGCCTCTGGGTTCTGTGGGAATGCTGTGATCAATTAGCCATGCCTGCCATGGACCTGGGAAGGAGGAGTGGTGGTGTACGTGTCATGCTTTGTTCACATAGCCAAATCCTTGCCATGGTGTATGTGTCCCTCCATGCGATACTCTACTATTCAGCAGTACAGAATTTCTTCTGGTTTCATAAAGAGGGTATCCGTGTTTGTCCCCAGGCTTTTGCACTTACTGTTTCTCTACCCAGATCATCCTTTTCCAACTTCTTTGCTCAGTTTAGTATTATTTGACTTTCAAGATTGAGCTAAGAGTCATCTTTCTAGAGAAATCTTTTCCTCTTCTCTTTGATTGTAGACCAGGTACTATGCCTGTGTGTTACTGTTGCCTCCATCATTGTATTATAATTCCCTGTGTCTGCTTCCTTCATGAGACTGCAAACTCTCTGAGGGCAGAAGTAGATTTGATTTTCTCATTAATTACCTAGCATAGAACTTGAGCTCTTATCTGGCAGACAATAATTGTTTATTGAAAAAAAAATGAATGAATGGCATATTTCCTACAGATGTGAAAAATAAAACAGAACTTACTGGTCTTTGTACTTTATAATAATCATGCAAGCAAATGAAAAAAATTTTAAAAAAACAGTACTGTTGGATAATTTTAGCGATTTTTTTTTCATTTGTTGCCATGTATTCATTTGGTTTATTGATTTAGGGTTAAAGTCAAGGTTGTTTTTTGCAATATTCCTGGACTATTTTGGAGAAAACCAGCTTTCTATTGCCCGTTTTACCGCTTCTTACAATAACATTCACATATATGTATGTGTATATCTTAGTTCTGGCTGCTGTAAGGAAACACCATAGACTGTTGGCTTAAACAACAGACATTTATTCTCCACAGTCTGGAGGCTGACAAGTCCAAGATCAAGGTGCTGACAGATTCAGTTCCTGAGGAGATCTCTCTTCCTGGCTTGCAGACGGGCCTCTTCCTGCTGTGTCCTCACATCATGGACACCATCCCATGATGAGGGCTCCATCTTCATGATCTAGTCACCTCCCAAAGACCCACCTCCAACCCACCTCCAAATACCATCACATTGGAGGGTGGACTTCAATATATGCATTTTGGGGGCATACAATTTTGTCAATAGAAAAAAAAAAATATATATATATATATATGTTTGCTTACCATATGCACTTAGATATGTAATGTAAGTGGAATAAAATCTGAATTCCCAGAGTTCTTTATTATATTCACACATCAAGTATTTACTGATCAACTACTTGTTCAGTGTGCTGGGAATACAGTGGTGAAGAAACAAACACAATACACAACCCGATGCAGCTTACAGTCTAATTGGCCCTGCCTGAATTTTTTCCAGTTTGGGTGGATTGACTAGCTTCCATTGAGCAGTTATCTTGGACCCATCATACTGAGAAAGAGAGTCCAAGCAGGATTATCTGCTTAGAGTAAATACCCCTTCCTCTCGAGAAATGAAGCAACCAGGGCGTGCTTTGTATGTAGGGGCATCTTTATGGCAGATGACCAAAGTGAACATTTGAGGATTCTGGACTATTCTCGACTAACCTATACCCCTGTTAAGGCTTACTGCTCTTGCCCTAAGTCAGCCTTTTCCCCCACTTTACTTAAAAAAAAAGTTTTATTATGGTAAGAAAACTTAACATGAAATTTACCCCCTTAAAAAATTCTTAAGTGTACAATACAGTATTGTTAACTACAGGTACAATGTTGTGCAGCACATCTGTAGAACTTATTCCTCTTGCTTAACTGAATATGCCCGTTATCAGTAACTCCTTATTTCCTTCTTCCCACAGCCCCTGGCAACCACGGTTCCACTCTGGTTCTACAAATGTGACTGTTTTAGATATCTTGTGTAAGTGGAGTCATGGAGTATTTTTCTTTCTGTGACTGACTTACTTCACTAAGAATAATGCCTTCCAGGTTCATCCATGTTGTCAGATCTTGCAGGATTTCCTTCTTTTTTAAGGTGGAATAGTATGCCATTGTGTGTATACTATATTTTCTTTATCTATTCATCAGTTAATAGACATTTAAGTTGTTTCCACATCTTGGCTATTGTGAGTAATCTTGCCATGAACACAGAAGCACCAATATCTTTTCAAGATCCTGGTTTCAATTCTTTTGGGTAAATACCCAGATGTGAGATTGCTGCATCGTGTAGTAGTTCTATTTCTAATTTTTTGAGGGACCTCCATACTCTTTCTATAGAGGCTATACCATTTTGCATTCCCACCAATATGTGCAAGGGTTCTAACTTTTCCACATCCTTACCAACATATGTTGTCTTTTTTTTTTTTGATAATAGCTAACCTGACAGGTGTGAGGTCACATCTCATGGTAGTTTTGATTTGCATTTCCCTGATGATTAGTGACGTTGAACACTTTTTTGTGTATCTGTTGGCCATTTATATATTTTCTTTGGGGAAATGTCTATTCAAATCCTTAGCCACTTTTTAAATCAGGTTATTAGTTTTGTTGTTATTGAGTTATAGAAGTTCTTTATATGTTTGGAGATTAACCCCTTCCCAGATATATGATTTGCAAATACTTTCTTCCATTCCATAGCTTGTCTTTTATGGAAAGACATCCCAGGTTCATGAATTGGAAGATTTAATATTGTTAAAAGGTCTATACTACCCCAAAATATCTACAGATTCCATGCAATCCCTTTCAAAATCACGACACTTTTTACAGAAATAGAAAAACAATTCTACAATTCATATAGAACCATGAAAGACCAAAAGTAGCCAAATAATCTTGAGAAAGAAGAACAAAGCTGGAGGCATCAACTTCCTGATTTAAAAATATATTACAAAGCTACAATAATTGAAATAGTATGGTACTGGCATAAAGCCAGACATATAGACCAATGGAGCAGAATAAAGAGCCCAGAAATAAACCCAAGCATATATGGTCAACAGATCTGCAACAAGGGTGCCAAGAGTACACGATGGGGTAAGGAGAGAGTCCCTTCAACAAATGATGAAGAAACTATTTTCACCAAAAGAATGAAATTGGACCCTTATCTTACACTACACACAAAAATCAATTAAAATGAATTAAAGACTTAAACATAAGGACTGAAACTGTAAAACTCATAGAACACAAAGGGGAAAACCTTCTTGACATTGGTCTTGGCAATGATTTCATGGATATGACACAAAAACCTGGGCAAC